CAACTCTGGGAAATATTTTCTGACTTCTATATCTTTGGTATCCCCTTTGCCACATTTTCTGGTTTTTGATAAAGAAAATGGGCAGGGTATAGGGATAGATGAAAGTTTTTCTTTTTCACCTTCTTTTAATGCTTAATTGTCTAAGTTGGTTGTGGGTTAGATAATCCTTCTGCTTGTTCTTATCCGTGATTCATTCTGAGCTATCTCCTGTTAGTTTGCTTTCTGTTATCCAGCCCCCTTTTTTTATTTTCCGTCGTTATTGAGTTCATTTCGTATTGGAGATTGTTGATCATGCCAACCTGTCACAGGTAATTACTCTTGTACTCTGCATTTATTTTTTTCTCTATTACTATATACTTCATACATATAAGGCACTAATATCTGTACTTTTCCTTGTTTTTACAGCATTTGTAATGATAGCCGATGGGAGTTTGTCTTCAAGAGGCTGTTTCAGTACCTTGTTACCTTTTGTTATCTTTCGTGGTTTTTGGTTTTAGATTTCTGGTTTGTGTTCTCTCTGTTATGAGACTTTATGCATAGTTTTTCGAGTCTTTGTTATTAAAAGTTGGAAACTATTGTGAGTGGTTCTGGTATGTAATAATCTGACCCTTTGGGCAAAGTCTCTAGTTTTCTATGGTTATGGTTGCTTTCTTTTATGTTACCTTTTTGTTTCACTGATTTAGTTTATAGTAATGTTGATATGTGTATTCAGCTGGTGAAAATACATGCTTGGTTTTGAGTAGGTTTTGCTTCAATAGTTTAATCTTACACAAGGTAGTTTTTTTGTAGATTTTTCAAGCAATAGAAGCCCCAACATATAATGCTGGATAAATTCATTTTAGTCTTCTAAATTTGGTTTATAGTTTGTGGCTGTCTTTCATTAATATTTCTAACTATATGCATTTATTTTTATTTTTTTTTAAAGTGTCTTGCTTATTAAAATGTGAAGGTTCCAAATTTTGTGTAGAACAAATATTGTTGATTGGAACATGAAGATACCCACAGGCGATTTCTTGATGTATCGTGAAGCTTTAAACTTTATTTTAAATAGAGTCCTGTCTTGGTTTATTTACTTGATATATATATATATATATATATATATTAAAGTCTTTGAAATTCAACCATTGCTTGTTGATAGATANTGCTTACTTGTGTTATTTCAATACTTCTATTTATGTTGCTTATTAAAATATGCAGTTCAATTTAAAAGTATATGTATTTAAAAAGTATGATTATCTGTAGGTTACTCTAAACTTTGATTATCTATAGGTTACTCTAAACTTGGAGCTACTCTCCAATTTACAGCATTAGCAATTGAAATGCCAAATATCAGGCCAATATGTAATAAAAAAGCTGGACAAAACCCTTAATACATCCAAATTCATAATAATTTCTGCCTCCCATTATCCTTATATTTGCAAAGGGAGGAAAAGCCCTCCAACATAAGCATAAAACAGATCCAAGAAACAGGAAAAATAAGAAAAACAGATTAAATATTTCACATTGATTTAAAAGAAAAAAAGTTCCTTATTAATCATATCCAGGGCTGTTGAGCTTTTGATCCCTTTAAGTAAAATCCTTAGAATAAAAGATGCTGAATTCCTCTGAGATATTGAGTTTAATACAAAAAACAGCTTTAGACAATCATCTTTCATCCAAGTCTGGATACTTCAGTCCTTCAGAAAACATCTCTTCATACCGGCATTCATGGCTGCAAAAGGCTTTTTCACCCCTGCAAAAAAGAAAAAAAAAATCAAATAAATAGATAAATAAATCTGAAGACTTTAATGGGGGCAAATCAAGATGAAATTAGCAAATGGGCACTGGATTAAATATATATTTAAGTTAATTTAACTAGGTTGGACCAGTCCTCAATTATTGAAGTCCCACCAAAATAAACATTAAACAATGAGGTGAGACACAAGATAAGTAAAAACCACTACAATAAAGCTACACATATGTGAGGCCAATCATTTGAGTTGATACTAATAGTGAGTCATCTAAACCATAAAAATATGCACCTAATAAAGAATTTATTTTTTCCCTGTACAATTCATGATTAAACTAAAATACTTCTGATATACACAGTTTGCTGAGCTTATGTAGTAAATAATAATATAATAAGGGAAATAAAATAAAATACAATAAAATAAAAGGGTCTAACCTGTAAATGTAGATGTCTTTTCCCTGTTCTAAAATATCCTTGCAAGTGTGACAAAAGCTCAAGAAATCAGTAGCCTCATTTGCTTCAAACCCACTATCCATTTTTTTCTTACACTCAGAAGAATATTCTGAATGATCCCCCAAACAGCTATCATCCACAACACAATCATCAAATATATGAGTTGTTTTAGGATTAGGACCATGAGAGATAACACAAGTGTAATCCTCAGAAAGCTCCATTTCTTTCAAAGACAGCTGCCTTGAAAAATCCTTAACTGGGGTGCTTGCAAAAGGGCTCGAAATCTTCGAATTCTTTGTCTTGATTCCGAATTCAGCCGGAGATTTCGGCGAAGGCTCGAGCGAAGAAGATGTGGGATTTATGTCAGGAATTTGAACCTTAAGCTGCTTTGATCCATACAAGGCTGCTCTGCTAACTGGCTTGGAAAAAATTCTTGATCCACCACAAAACTCCTCCTCATCATTATTTTTTTCATGTATGATTGAGTCAATCAGGGCAAGGCCAGTGGCCTTATTAGTAGTGTCCTGTTTGGCAGTTGGGATTGGCATTTGGGACAAAATCTTGTCTTGGCCAAATGGGTTCACAAAACTGAGGTTGTTTTTGGTGTCAAGTGTTGAGGTGGGGCTCATGAGAGTACTATTATTAGTTTCTGTGTCTGAAAACTGGTTTTTGGAAAGAAATCCATTGAAAAGCCTTGGAGAATTCAAGAAAGATGAGATTGGTGAAGTTTGATCAGCCATAAGGGCTTGTTTGGTTGTAACTGCTCTAGATCTGTTTCTCAGCATTAGTGATTGATTGATTATTTTTTCCAAGAAAGAACCCTTTTTTTTTTCTCAAGAAACAGATGAACAAACCAAAAGACCCAAATTGAAAATGAATAGAAGAGAACTAAAAGAGAGAGAGAGAGAGAGATAAAAGAGGAAAAATTATTGAGAAAAATCAAACCTTGAACTAGTGGTTAAGCTAAGCTAACTCCATGAATGGCTTGCTGCTGCTGAAAAAGATTCACACTTTAACTGAGACCCACAAAAGAAAACAAGCAAAAGTTTGGCTAAAAGCCAAAAATTTATCATGAACCATAAGGGAAATAAACAGTAGTGACTTATAAATCTTTAGGGCACAAAAAATTAGAGGCAAAAAAAAAAAATAAATAAATAAATTAAAAACCCTGCTAAATCTCATGAGCCTCCATTTCAGAACACTGACAAGTAAACAGAAAAGTTGCAATCTTTTTAATCCTTTTTCCAATCTGGAATAAGAAAAAAGAAAAGGGGAAAACTTTATTTGCTCAACAAAATCAAAAGCTAATTTTCATGAGCCTTGCAATGCATTATTGATCATCAAGATTCAATAAGCAGATAGTTGAACAAGTTCTTCTTGTGGAGGCTAGAGAGAGAGTGTGTGAGGTAAGAGAGAGGGCAGTGAAAAAAAAGAGAGTTTTGGTGCATATTTTAAAGAGGAACTGAACTGATTGTGTTTGAGAAAAGGATAGGAAGAAAATATAAAAACCAAGGAAAAGGAAAGGCCAGCAAGATGGGGGGCCCACATGATTTATCACTCTGAATTCTGATAATTATTTTCTCATCGGTTTTGGAATTTAGCACTTCTTTTTGTGTCTAATTTAATTTAAAATGAAATAAGATGAGAAAATAATTGAAGAGTGGAATTTTAGAGTAAACAATCCCAATGAATAATTGAAAACTGTATTATTAGTTATGCAATTGAGTTTTTTATAAGTTTGCATGGACAAATTCCATCCTACCATGTAAGTTTTTTTATGTGTAACATATATTAGAGGAGTTTTGAATTGTTATATTATCATTTGAAAGATGTTTCGTAGCGAGTAGGGCTGCAAATTAATTGAGCTGAGTCGAGCATTGGTCTTATCATGTAAGATTGATTTTTTTTTTTTAGCTGTTTGAGCTCAAGCTCGAGCTCGACGAGCTGGACTCAAAATCAAAATGCTCGAGCTCGGCTCGAAAAATTTTAAGTGGAAAAGTACCATTAAGCGCATATGCTATACTATTGTAATATATATGTAAGGGGTATTTTAATAATTCAACATATATCTCGAGCTGCTCGACAACGTAAATTATAGACTCGAGCTCGACTCGAGTTTTGATTCGAGTTCTCGCGAGCCGCTCGGTTTTTGCAACCCTAGTTGTGAGAAATCAAAACGAATATAACTTTTATAATTGGACTCAAAAACATTATTATAACATATTTCTGCAAATGGAATAACGATTATGATTAAAACCCATCGCTCCTAGTGTGATTGACTAATTGGCAGTGAGTCCAAATTTCATCGTTTGTGGATCGTTTTAGCTGTTTTATAATATTTTAGTTTATTTATTTAGTTCCTATTTTTTTTAATATACGTATTTATGGCATTCTTTCGACAACGCATATACGTAGATACAAAGCAAAGTGGCCGATTTTTTGCGCGTTGTGCTGTCTGGTGAGGTTTGTAGGACTGTTTATTATCCCGTGATAGTTTTCATACATTGAATCACACACATGCACACCTACTTGTATGAGTGTTCGATTCAATAGTTAAATTGATCATTTGGCCTGGAGAATCGAATATTTTTTTTTCTTAAAAAATAATACTACCTCCTTTTTTTTTTTTAAATATCATTTTCGCTTTATCAACAATTAACTAAATAAATGACGTTTTTAGATCTTTTGCACATATTTTTCCATTATTACCCTTATCTAGCTAATAAATATACTACTCCCTCCATTTTGAAATATAAGGCGTATAAAGATTTCTCAATTTTTTTGAAATATAAGGCGCGCTAAAAAATCAAGACAAATTTTTGCATTTTTTTCTAAATATACCCTCATTGTATTGAAATTAAGGAAGTGTGGAATGGTTGTGATTAGAGTAAATAAAGTTAATTTAGTCAATTTATTCATTAATTAATGTCTCCTTAATATTTGTGCAATAACCTTAAATGCCTTATATTTCAAAATGGAGGGAGTACATCTTTTCATATTCACTCTTTATCTTTTCTCAAAACATTCATCTCTCTCTATCTTCATTAATGAAGGTTACTAGTATTAGCAAAAAATAAATTTTTATTATTGTGCAACTTTTCAAAACGACATTTATTTAAAAAAGGATGGTGTACTTAATTTGTTTTACATTACGTTGTAATCATGAGACAATTCAATAAACAAAGCTACATAATCATGTAAGCTTTATTAATTTAGGTATATCATGCGTTTTATAAGGTGCTAACAATTCATGGCTGATTGGTTGCTAATCCTCTGTGTTTACGTTCGTTGTTGGACGGATTAAGCGTTTAAATACCATTTTTATAATTATAAAATATTTTTCTACGCGAACGTCATAATTTAAATATATATTATCTGAAACAATATTTTATTATTCGAAAATATGTCACGTCGATAAGTCTAAACGTTAGACTGCTGCATCACACAAAACTTTACATTTTAATAAATAAAAGAAATTAGAAAAAGTAGGAAAATCGGAGAGAAAATGAGTGCAAATTTACTTTATTTTATTTTATTTTATTAAAAGGGATGTTGAACACTTGAATGCACGCACTCAAATGATAAAAATACAAAATTGGTCAGACTCTGACCGAGCAGTAATTACTCATTAGTAAATTACTGATTTTTCCTTTTGTTTTTATTTATTATTTCCAAATTTGGGATTGAAATAAAAGTGGATGGGCAATGGATGGACCCCAACACTTTACTGTTCATAACCACGCTTTTTTTTTTATTGTTATTATTTTCATTTTATTTATTTTTTCATTATTATTATTAATATTATTTAAAATCGAATTAATTTTCTAGTCTCTTGTAGGGCAATTTGTTTTCATGTAAATTGTTGTCTTTTAGTCACTTACCACCTGCATTTAATTTACGTCTTCTTCATGCTTTTTTCTCAATGTCCCCCACACCTCACTCCAAGGTATAAATAAAAATTATTTTGATTAATATAAATTAAACTACTTATGATATACAATTCACAAATTTAGCATAGGAAAATGTCCATTTTGAATGAAAAATATATACAAATTAATGAAATGAAAATCTATGCACAATTTTTGGTTGGATTAACAGTGAAAACATTTTTCTACTCCTTTTTCCTTCTTTTATTTTTACACATTTTTTTTTACTTCTTTTATAAATTAATAGTTTGAGACAAGTTTACCAAATATATTTTTTTTTATAATTTTTAAGCAGTCAACAATGAGCTTTTAATTATATTATCATCTATATATACCTACCTACCTTTTGTGTACCAAATTTAAACTATTTAATTGCAATCCAACCAAGTATAATAAAGGACTTTTAAGTTTTGTACAAGAAAGCTACATAAATTTATATGAATTTATTTGGGGCTAGTGTTAGTTCATAGGTGGTTATATTTTTCTTGAAAAGAAAATGCAATTTTTTGGTCAAAATTAATTTTTAATATACAACTTACACTATATCGTCCATTTCGTTCTATTGTACCATTTATTAAAAAAAATAAAATTACTTGTGAAACCAAAATGAGTTAATTCCACATTTTCTTGAATGATATTTTTACCAATAACAACATTTGATTTGGGAGCCATATAACTTTTTATTGAAATTTAAAACAATGACTAAAATATATACACAGTAAAAAAAATAAATGATTGAGTTTTTTAATCTGCTTAAAACTCTAGACATTTCTATTCAACCAATTTTGAGAAGCAGATCATTTAACAATAATATTAAAATTTTTCATTCAATAAGTATGGTCTTGAGTCAAAATTGATTTGTCCTACCATTAAAATCAAGGAGCAAGATTTTTTTTTGTGGAAATATTTAATTTGAATCTTTCCTTTTAGACTCAAGTTATCAAATGGTTAAGACAATTATACTCTTTCACTAACTATACATATTTTATAATATTATATCCTTAAAATATAATTCATACAGAAAATGACATTTCATTATAAATATGCATTTTTCATAAAAAAAAATTATAATATTCTAACTATCAGAAAACCCACATTTATGCTACACAAATAGTGTGGACCAATTCTAGAAAGCTCAACGTTTATAAGTAGTAACTGTTGAGTTCAACTTTCTTCTAACAAGTGGGAATTAAACTGGTATATTGATCACGAGAAAAAGAAGAAATGAAAAGCGAAATTCGATTAAAAAAAAAAGTTCATAAAACACCATGATAAAAGTTAAATCATGAAAAAGATAGGCTGGCCACAATATGTAAAAGTATGAAATTTTAAGAAAAGTAATAAAGTTGAAATTTAGAACCCAGCAAATATAAAAGAAAGAAAAGAAGTACTACAATATAAGCTGAAATATTACTTTATACTAGTATACACTAGTAGTACTACAAGTTCATTAAAATTTATATACTTATTTTTTTTTTAAGATTTTATTTAAATTTTCAAATACCTTTTAAAATATTGCATTTTTTTATTTATTTAGAATAATATTCATCACATAATAGTTATTATAGGTCATGTCATATAACACACTTGATATATAAATTTATTTAATTAATAAATAAAAATATTATTATTTTATAATTAGAATCGATTAGATAATTTAATTTGCATATATATATATATATATATATAATATGGACACCAAATAAAATTTTATAAAAAAATTAATTAATTTGATATATCAGAAAAATTAACAACAAATAAGTGATATTAAAATTTTAAATTATATTTATAATTTAAGTTTGACTTAGTGTTTCATAATTTAAAAGTTTTTAATAGAAGTTCGAATCTACATAGCTGAACTAAATCACTATATTTGACATATGAGTAATGTTATAGGTATATAATAATGTACATAAAGGTATATGTAACACTCACATTGAGTGGGTCCTACCAAAAATAAAAAATTAAGTGGATTCCACTTCATGTGAGTGTTATGTACACCTCTATATACATATATTATGTACAAGCATTTTTTTTGACATATAGTAATTGATTGTAATTAACATTTTGATTCCGTTTATAAATATATCCGAATTACAAGTAAATGTAGCTACCAAATTCAGCTTTTGGCCCACTTCAAGTGACGGCCCAATTAACTTTTGGGCCCATAGTAGTAAAAAAAATCATCTTTGTCTTGTGCTTTTCATTTGGTTAGTGGGATTTTGCATCAATCATTTAGGTCATGAAAAGGCCATCTCTGCCCCCATCTATTTAAAATTTATTATTTATTTATTTATCAAATGGATGATGCAATAAAATTCCGAATTAATCAAGAGCTAATGCTAATTGATGGGGCTTGCTTAGTCAATGAGACACACAAAAGTTTAAAAAATTAAGAAACGTAG